ATATTAAAAAAAATGATAAAATATGCAAAAATATTTTTAATATAAAAAAAAAAATGTCCCTCTGGTCACTAGGGGGTGCTGCAGCATCCCCACTTCCCGCCGTCATGCCATCTTCTGATTTGGCTGACAACAAACTCATAGAAGCAGGAGAGTCTATGGCAGAGGAGGGAAGGATGGATGTCCATGTAACTGTAGGCAAGTGAGAAGGATGCTGAGGTTGTTCCTGAAATGAATCTGTTAAAGAATGTATTCAGTTTATTGGCTCTGTCCAAACTTTGATCTGTATGATCTACCTACTGCTTGAAGCCTGTGACTTTCTTCATCCCTTACCACGTATCTCTAATATTGTTTTGCTGGAACTTGTGTCTCAGGCTTCCTGTGTGCCTCCTTGATTTATCTTATCTTGCTTCTGTATACTCCTCATTAATTACCTGCCTCCCTTCTTAAAGGCTTGTTTCTGTTTTTGTTAAGCAGTTGCTTTAGTCCACTTGTGAATCATGGTTTATTATTTGGAAAGCATTTCTCTGTTCTAGTAGGGATGGTTTTATCAACACAGAAGACTATGTAGTCAGTCAACATTCATTGTATCAATGTCCTCTCCATGTGGCTGACAAAGTGCATCCCAGTTTGTAGTCTCAAAATAACTTTGCAGGGCTTCTTCAACTTCCTTTGACCATCTTCTTAGAGTTCTTTAAATGCAGGTTTTCTCTTATAAAGTACTTTATATTCTGAACAGAAAAAAAACAAGATTGTGATCTGATTTCACAATAGGAGTTCTTACTTCGGAGATGGATGAGTCCTTGACATTTATACATACAACAGCTAACAAACTGATAGAAAATTGTGTAGCAGAGAGTGAGGCGTGAATAAAATCACCTGTAATTGGCATAAATGCATTTGGTTGTTTGGTAATGCAGGCACTTTACCTCACATGCAGTGTGAGCAATAGTAGAAGGTGGAATATAAACGTTTGCTAACAGATCACTTGTAAACTCTTTGGGCAAACAATATTTTCAAAAATCAAAAATTAAAGTTCTGGGCTGCAGTCATGGATCTTTACAGTAACATGTCCTAGATGACACCATCTGTTGTTCACAAGCAGTGCCTACCCACCTCCTTTGAATATTCCTATCTTTTTTTTTTTAAATCTCTGTCTTTCATGATTTTGGCACTGATGGCTAGCTTGGCTCATTTCTTCCACTGGCTTAGCCCCACCCAGTTCTCATTGTCACTCATCAGATCCACCTGTTTCTGTTTCCTTTTTAAGCTGCCTGTTCCCAGCCATTGGTGATAGATTATTCGAGCTATGTGTGAGAGCTCTGGGCTTCCAAGTATTTTTTGCCCCTGTTCTGCTCTGTTTGCCTGATCTGTCTTCAGACCTTGGATCTCATTCCTGACCCCAGCTTGGAACTCCTTTGGTACCTCTTTGGATCTCTGATCTTCGGGCCCAGAAACCTGCTCCAGCATCAACTCTGACTTTGGATTATCCCTTCGGATTCTTCTGTTCTTCGGCGTTTGTTGACTTCTGTTCAGTCTGCACTGTTTCTCTCCTGGAACTCTGGTGGCAGATCCCGCCGCATGCTGTGGAAAAACAATCCTTCAGGATTGGACCAGGTTATTGACTCACATGCTCATTATCCTTTCCCGTCTCAGTTTCGTAGTCCCTAACCTGAGTGTTCACCTCTTCAGAGTATCCAGTGATCCTGCCCCAGCTGAAGAACCGCTCTACACTGAGCAGTTAATAAACGCTTGCTTTGTAAATACTCTCCTCTGCATCTGTGTGCTTGAATTCTGGGTCCAACATTCTGAACTTCTGAAACTTCCTGCTCCTATGGTCAGAAAGTCTGGCAGAGAGAAATGCTTGAGTCCAAGGAATCATCCTGGATCTATGTTTCAATAAACACATAATGCTGCATTGTCGATTTTCTGGCTGGGTCATTGCAAAGGCTTGGAGTTCTTCTAACTTATTTCCTAAAGATCTCACACTGTTCATGATAATTGATGGAAGACATGGCTTTAATTTCTTTTCCCTCTCTTGTCTCCTTGCTGCTGCTCTGCATCCCCGAAGTCGCCTTTTCCACTTAGCTGGTACTTATGGAGGTAGCGGATGTAATATTTCAGCCTTGGAGAGGTTAACTATCTAAAAGAAAAAAAACTTGCTATGGTTTCTGTGGTTATAGCCTACATCATAACAAGTATCTAAAAGTGCCTCTGTCGAAGTCATGTGGGACATTTATTGAATGTCAAGATAATGTCAACTTTAGGTCAAGATAGATTACTGTATATTCTTAAAATTGTGAAATTAATTATTGAAGTATATTTTGTTGAATATAAAATTAATACTTTTATTCTGCACCTTTCCAGATTGCATGTGGATGTATTATTTTAGAAAAAAAATCATTGTTGTAGATATGACCTTTAAGAACTTACAGGTGCTGGTCATAAAATTAGAATATCATGAAAAAGTAGATTGATTTCAGTAATTCCATTTAAAAAGTGAAACTTGTATATTATATTCATACATTACATACAAACTCATATATTTCAGATGTTTATTTTGTTTAATTTTGATGATTACAAATGACAACAAATGAAAATCTCAAATTCATCATATCAGAAAATTAGAATATTACTGAAGACCAATAAAAACAAAGGATTTATAGAAATGTTGGCCAACTGAAAAGTATGGACATGAAAAGTATGAGCATGTACAGCACTCAGTATTTAGTTGGGCCTCCTCTGGCCTGTATTACTGCAGCAATGCGGCGTGGCATGGAGTCGATCAGTCTGTGGCACTGCTCAGGTGTTATGATAGCCCAGGTTGCTCTAATAGTGGCTTTTAGCTCTTCTGAATTGTTGGGTCTGGTGTATTGCATCTTCTTCTTCACAATACCCCATAGATTTTCTATGGGGTTAAGGTCAGGAGAGTTTGCTGGCCAATTAAGAACAGGGATACCATGGTCCTTCAACCAGGTACTGGTAGCTTTGGCACTGTGTGCAGGTGCCAAGTCCTGTTGGAAAATGAAATCTGCATCTCCAAAAAGTTGGTCAGCTGCAGGAAGCATGAAGTGCTCTAAAACTTCCTTGTATGTGGCTGCGTTGACCCTGGACCTCAGAAAACACAATGGACCAACACCAGCAGATGACATGGCACCCCAAACCATCACTGACTGTGGAAACTTTACACTGGACTTCAAGCAACGTGGATGAAGTGCCTCTCTTCTTTTCCTCCAGACTCTGGGACCTTGATTTCCAAAGGAAATGCAAAATTTACTTTCATCAGAGAACATGACTTTGGACCACTCACCAGCAGTCCAGTCCTGTTTCTCTTTAGCCCAGGCAAGACGCTTCTGACGCTGTCTGTGGTTCAAGAGTGGCTTGACACAAGGAATGCGACAGCAGAAACCCATGTCTTTCATACGTCTGTGTGTGGTGGTTCTTGAAGCACTCACTCCAGCTGCAGTCCACTCTTTGTGAATCTCCCCCACATTTTTGAATGGGTTTTGTTTCACAATCCTCTCCAGGGTGCGGTTATCTCTCTTGCTTGTACACTTTTTTCGACCACATCTTTTCCTTCCCTTCGCCTCTCTATTAATGTGCTTGGACACTGAGCTCTGTGAACAGCCAGCCTCTTTAGCGATGACCTTTTGTGTCTTGCCCTCCTTGTGCAAGGTGTCGATGGTCGTCTTTTGGACAACTGTCAAGTCAGCAGTCTTCCCCATGATTGTGTAGCCTATAGAACTAGACTGAAAGACCATTTAAAGGCTTTTGCAGGTGGTTTGAGTTAATTAGCTGATTAGAGTGTGGCACCAGGGGCCATCAATTTTGAACCTTTTCACAATATTCTAATTTTCTGATATGATGAATTTGAGATTTTCATTTGTTGTCATTTGTAATCATCAAAATTAAACAAAATAAACATCTGAAATATATGAGTTTGTATGTAATGTATGAATATAATATACAAGTTTCACTTTTTAAATGGAATTACTGAAATCAATCTACTTTTTCATGATATTCTAATTTTATGACCAGCACCTGTATTGTATTTACAGAATCATGACCACCAGTGCAGTCAGTGTTTCGAGGAGCCAATCAGACAGCACTGATTCACTCAGAGATGTTGTCTTTAAGGTTTTGGGGCCAGGGGCCACAGATGAGGGGCGGAGCTTTCTGATGTAATCTGGCCACATGTTTTGATTGCTAACTTGGTAAAGAATGATTACCTATTCTTATGCTTTTGGGTAAGAATCCAGTTGGGTTAAAAAGAATTCCCTTGTATTTCAGTCCACAGTGCCATTCACTCTATCAGGTTTCCATTTTCTCTGGGGGTCCACAGCTTCATCAATCTACTATCATTCGCTTATTTGCTTCATGCATGACTCACCTGGAGTGTTTGTTCCTGTCTTATCTTAACAAAGCACATATTTCCACTTTGAGTCTAAGCAAACTGAGCTCATGTTTATGATGGTAGAGGAGAAAAAGCCTTTAATTGAAGGCAGTCTAAACAACCTGCTGGTATGTTATTTTGGAAATGTGTTCATCTCCAGCTCCCTACAGCAGTTATCTTTCTCTCAGTGAGATTTGAAGATTTTATTTCTTACCTCACTTATACTGTGCTCTGTTGATGCAGCGAGAAAAAAACATTAAACCTTATCCACTTTAATGACCCGCGGGAAAAAAACAAAAAAATGGTTGCAGAGTCTCGTCATATTTATAGCCAAGCTTAACAGACAGTCATAGATTGATTGCTTTGAAACTACAAAGTGAATTTTAAGTCAATAAAAGCTTTTATTGCATTTTCTTAAGGGGATTTCTGGGATGATATTCATTAAACTACATATTATATATACATATATATAAAAACATTTTTTAAAAGGAGTACAAACAGATTTATCTGCATTATTGCAATTAATTTATTTCATATCTAGAAATCAATGTGGCCAAAATCATTTGGTTATAATCTGTATTTTCACATTGTTTGCTTTCTTCCCTCTTAGGCCTACAGTGTACTGAGCATAGCTGGAACTCACCCTTTATTTGTGGCGGATGGCGGAAAGCTGGTTGGACAAATCACATGGTCTGAGGTAAATGTTGAGAATATTATGTGTAGATTTCTACTGTTCTAAACCAGTGATCTTAAGTCTCTATGTTTTACCCCTGACATGATGAACATGTTTGTAGTTGGTTTAAATATTTTTTTTCACTCCAGATGCAGCAAATCTTGGAAGGCTTGGCTAGGGAGATCTGAGCAGCATCAGCTTGGGATCAGCACTTAAACTGACATAAATTCATCTATTTCGGATTTGCATTCAATAAAGCTGGTGCCAGATAATGATGCAACTTTTTCATTCCCCGAGTTTAACATTGTTTGCTCCTGAACAAAACGTATTAACTGGTGACTAAGATGATAAATATTTATCAAAGCTTTTCTACTTTTGTCTTTAATTGTAATTAATGGTGTTGAATCCAGAGAGGAGGGAAACTCTCATTCAGTTATTCATACACTTTGACATGATATTAAAAGTAGTGGGAATGAACACACAGGTCTTCTTGGTAGGGTATCTAAAAGCTGCCACAAAAAACAAGAAATGATAATATATGTGCAAATTTATGCAGTGAATTTTGTTCCATTATTGGTGCAAGCAAAGGACATATTTTGTGAATGGACATTTGAAAATAAAATGCAATTAAGAAATTAGCATTCTGAATATATAAAACGTTTTTAATAAAAGTCAAATTTGTTTAGATTTTATTTTCCAGATATATATAAATCTATAACTCGATAAATAAAATAAAAAGTATATTAAATAAATATATAAATAAAAAATATATATTTTTGACATTTTTTGCTAATTAACAGGTTTTTTAAATTCAGTTTTACAAATTGCTCTCTGAGTAATAGCATTTTATTGATCAATGTGCGCGAGAGTAAATTAATATACTGGGCTCAAAGTGAAGAGAATGTGATTTGTTAAACACAAATTGAAAACAATGCAATCCATTAAACTCTTTTTTTAAAAAGACAGTTGAAAATATAAAATATGTAAAAAAAATGTTACAAAATAGAGTTTGGAGACAAAAAAATGGAAAAAACCACATATAAATAAAATTGGAGAAAATGGTAAAGTTACTCTTCAGACCTCTTTTGGGTTTAAACAATTTTCAAAGTTTGTAGATTGTGTTTTTTTTTTTTCAAATCTCCATCTATAAAACCATTTCTTTGCTTGCAACAATAATGGAACAAAACTCGCTCTATATAAGTTTTCTTTTTCCTGAATACTCATGTTTCAGTAACTACTTGTAACTACAAGTTCATTATGAACCGATGTATTGTAAAACTATGTATGCCGCCTTTTATTAACTTTAGAGGAATAACCACACATGTTTCTATGGGTGGAACAACGCATACTTAAATATTAAGAAGTGTACAGAAGAAGATGAATGGCTTTCAAATGTTTGGGTTGAAAAGATTTACTTTCTATTAAAGGCACACTATGCAACATTTTTCAGTTAATTAATGTGTTCCATAACGTTTTGGATGATTAAATGAGTCATTTCAGGTTGAACAAAGGTATTCTCGGCCGCCCTGGTGGTCTGTGGGGGAAATACCGCACTTGCAATTGCAGGAGCACCGACCCGCACCCACAGGCTCAGAAGTCTCGCGAGAGTCGGTCTTGCTTTACGGCGAGAACTGCTACACCCCCCAGTTAAAAGCATGCTCGTTGCTAGCACAGTGGCGATCAATAAATCCAGAAAGACAGTACTTAAAATCATTTAATCTTATCTTCAACAAACTGGACTAAACCTAAGGATTTAAAGAAACATAAATAAGATCAAGTAGGTGGCGATAATGCTCCATTTGGTTGCACGTCGCCAGTAAAACAACAAGAAGAGGACAGTGGCGATGTTTGTGCAGTGCTGCTTTCACACCGGACGCAGCAAAATCGCGTCTGCTGCTTCATTTTTGCTGTTTGTACCAGTTAGTCCTGACGCGCGGCTGAAGCAGCTTTGCTGCTCTGGCTGCGTGGTGCAAAAGTGTGTCTGACGCGCGTTGGGCGGAGCTTCACTATCCTTTCTCTGCCTTGCAGCTATATTTGCTGTGATCAGTGGGAATAAAGTAGTTTTAATATGTTTTTAAGTGAGAAAATACACCTGAAAACGTAATCAGTGCCGTCAGTTCATTCAGATTATCATCCTCCCTTACAATATTTTTTCTGTCGGAGCCGCTCAGACCCCCACATACCAGCGGTGCGCCGACAGTAGGAATCCCTTCATCAGCAGCCTCTGGCCGGGTCGCCTCCTCGCGGTTCACTGCGGCAGCTGGTAGGTGTTTTTCATCTAAATAATCCAAACTGCATATTCTGCCGGCAGATTTCTGCATTTTAAGTTAATTTAGGCGTCAATAAACTGTTTAAGAGGAGTGATCATCAGCGCTGTGTCTCTCTCCCTGCCAGCTCCCAGATCAGCTTCTCTGATTGGTTGAGGCGGCGCGTCGAGCAGCAAAAATTCAATTTTTCCATCTCGAGCAGCAGCGCGTTTGCGGCGCTTCAGATGCTTAGTCATTCGTTGCGTTCGCCTGTCTGCTAAGTTCAAAACAACTGCGCCTGGCTTGACGGAGAAACCAGGAGAACAGCTATGCATATTTACGACAGTGCACTTTTACTTTTGCCCTCTGGGGGGAGCCTCGCTGTAAAATCAACACCGGTTGCATAGTGTACCTTTAAGAAGTGGTGAGCCCATCAACAAGATCTAGTTTTGGCAGGTAACAGTGGGCGGAGCTTTTAGGGTAATGTTGGTCCACTTAAAATTCGGCAGGAAGAGTTTTAACTTCAGCAGTAAAATTTTGAGGGCAGGAGAAGCTTCTGGAAGACGAACAGAGTGGTGATTTAGGTTTTTTTCTACAAATTAAAGAAGCAAGGAGGCAGAGCACTGGAAGGCAAGGACCTGAGTTGGACTGATTTTCTGAAAAAGGGGGAAAATTGAGAATTTGTTTAATCATGTGCATTTAATAGCAAGAGTCATGCAGAGAAAATAGGCCTGATTGGGATAGACAATATTTCAGCTCATCATCTGATGATGGAGACAGTAAACAGAGAAGCAGCCAAGAGGCTCATGAAGTGATTGACTGTTTCTGTTGACAGAATGACTGGGACATCTGGATAAATCTAATATTCATGGATAAAAAAAAAAAAAAATTTATGAGAAGTTTTATTTAAAATATCCATGGGGGAGGGTCTTCCAAAAAGCCTGCTGTAACGCTCATAATTTTCTTTTTCAGATGAAGCAGAACTTTTCAAAATAAACATTTATGCGTTCAGGTGTGCAATCTGGTAATGATGTGCGCTTTCTACAAAGCATCGACTCTGGGAGGCTGAATACAAAAATAAGATTATTTCTCCTAAAGAAAAATGAAAACAATGGATTTTTTTCCCTCGTTACATTGGTGCTCTACTTAGAATTGGTCGCACACATAAAATCCCAAGAAAATGCACCAAGTTTTAATATAGCAGAAGAGTAAATAATTTTGCAAGGCACTGTAAGGCTTGGTGATATTTTCGAATTAGACTAAAATCACTTTCAAAATATCCATGAGGTGGCTGCTCAGAGATAGCAGGAAGATGGGACCTCTCCAGGAGGCAGAATGTGAAATGCTTTCCTCTCTCATTATGCCTCAGAAATGAAGCAGGATGAGAGAGGAAGGGAAAATCTGTTAGCAGCAGCTGTAAAATATTAGATCCCTAACAGAGAGGAACTACAGGTGTCAGAGCTCAGATTCTACCTGAATTATTCCCTCTGAATGCATTTGCAGAGATATAAGTAGATAAAAACAAGGAAACAGGCAAAACTTATTGTGCAGCATTGTCTGCTCTGTTGTAGCTTTTAAGCGGTCTGGAGATCATGGAACACCTGAAAGCAGAGGGCTGCAGATCAAAATTTACACATGGATGAATCTGGTGCAGAGATTTATTTATTTTTATTTTACTGAAAATCATATTCTTCTCATGCTTTTTTTTTAAATCATGCTAAAATTAAAATAATAAAAACCTGGCCTTTCCATGTATCTTTTAGTGCAATCCCAGTCATGCATGAAACACAAAAGGAGAAACGAAGCAGCCAAATCTTGGAGAATATTTAAAAAACATTTTTAAACGGGGCATAGTTATGTCATTTGTTTGTTTTCATTATATACACCAGTAACTCACTGTGGTTGCATTCAACAAACTGCAGTGTCGTGCTAGCATAATATTGGTAATTTTTGTCTTTTAATTAAATTCAATTAAATTTCAGTTCAGTTCAGTTTATTTCTATAGCGCCAATTCACAACCTATGGCATCTTAAGGCACTTTCCAGTCCGCCAGATCATAGAGTCAAATTGATTTAAAGTTTTCTATCTAAGGAAAACCAGTTGATTGAATCGACTCATTGACTCAGATGCAATCCCTCACATTAAGCATGCTTGCAGCGACAATGGAGAGAAAAAACTCCCTTTTAACAGGAAGAAACCTCCAGCAGAACCAGGTTCAGTGTGAGCTGCCATCTGCTGAGGGGGACTGGGTTCAAGGAGACAGAAGATAGAGATACAAAAAGCCACTGTAAAAGGCGGCCCCGTCCAGGAAACACACAGGCAGACGAGCTTCGAGCCAACTATATATGGAGGACCAACTCTGCCATATTTAAAAATAAATGCAGAAATAAATAAATGCACAATAAATAAATATAAGCATATTCATTATTTGTATACAATTAATTGCCCCCAAACATACAATAAACAAATAAATGTAGGTAGAAATGAAATTTTACAGTGAGACATAAATGTATATATCTTATCTTAATAAGCTTCTTTATTTATTCACCTTTGTAATAATTACCTCATTTATTTATATGCATGTTATAATATTTTTGTCTGGTTTATTCTTCCGTTGTATTTTTTTTACCCTATTTATTTCTGCCTGTCGTATTCACATTTTTGTATGCATTTCTGCCTCATTATGCAAACGAGGAGGGGTGTGTCTTAAGGGTAGATGGGCTTCATAGTGACACCTAGAAGTATAATATTGATCTTAAAACTTATTTTTATTGGATAACAGCAACAGAAAACAGAACTTTTAACTTAATAGTCTGAGCTCTGTGAGTTAAGAAGATGGGCCGGCAACCAATGGGGAAAAGTTGACCCTCTAAGACATAGCCCCCTCCTCGTTTGCATAATGAGGAAGAAATGCATCAGAAATCTAAAAAAGACAGACAGAAATAAATAGTGTTGAAGAAATAGATTGTGTAAAAAAAATACAAAGGAGGAATAAAACAGACAAAAATATTATATCATGCACATAAATAAATACTTAGAAAAATAAGTAATAAATAAAGTTGAAGAATATAATGGAAAATAAATAAATAAGGTAATTATTACAAAGGTGAATAAATAAAGAAGCTAATTAAAAGAGATTCATAGATTTATGTCTCACTGTATAATTTAATTTCTACCTACATTTATTTATTTATTGTTTTTATATTTATATATTTGAGCATTTAAATATTTCTTTATTTATTTTTAAATATGGCAGAGTTTGTCCTCCATACTCCCATGTCAGAGAATGAAGAAAGCCCATCCAGCCAGTCACAGTCAGAGAAACAGGACTACACTGAAAAACAGGCTGATCTCCACCATCTATAAACAAAGGCGTCGATGGCAGCAACACAGCTGATATTTCT